CACAGACTGTTTAATGCTGCTAAAGTACATGTATACACACTCTCTCTCACACACACACACACACACACACATGCATAATGAGTGTGTAGTTCTAGCGATCTTACCTTGTACACTCGGTTTGGTCTTCAGGATGTAGAACATAATAATCATCACTATAGCGATGGCCATGATGAAGATGGTTGACATGGCGATGATGAGGGCTGTTGCTAGGTGACCTTGTCCTGTTGGATCTGGAACACAGTAAAAGATTCTATGTTGCTTGACGACCGTCAAATGCTACAATTGCACTGACTTTTTGTTTTGACTGATTGTTTATAGACCCTTTTTGTGCCGACGTCACAGTTACATCACAGCGCTAGCTGGAGGCAAAACAATGAGAAAACTGGAGGCGGCTGATACAAACCAGCACAGATTGAGCTACATGAGGAGCTTAAAATATCGTCTTGTTGTAATGTTGGGTTCCAGAATTTACGTAGTACAGGCTCCAATTTGAAATTTTATCACATACTGTACCTGCTGCCACTGCCAGAAAAAACCCCGATGACAGCTGTGGTTAAACACGTTAAAGTGAGTGAACTGGACAGAAACAATCGTCAAAATGCTCGCGTTTGCAGCGCACACTTCTCATCAGAAAAAGGTTCAATAAAGTATTGTCTTTCGTTGTTATGGATTATGGTTTGTGTTATGCGTCTAAAGATTTCTTATGCATATCGTGTATGAAATAATGTCTGTGTGCATGTGTGTAAAACAACAAACTGACGATTCATATGCTTAATCATCTGTAATTGTATATACATTGTTGTGATTGATTGTGGCTGGAATTTAAGAAAAAATAATTAATTATTAATACTGAATGTACCTTATATTTCTCATATTCTATAATATTGCTGGTGTTTTATCTAAGCAATAAGGCCGTATGTTACAGTGATTTTACTATGTTTGAAAAAAACCATGGTAAATCTGCTGCGTTAAAATATAATATGTGAGCCTGGAGCACAAAAGCAGTGTTAAGTCGCTGGGGTATATTTGTAGCAATAGCCAACAATACATTGTATGGGTCAAAATTATACATTTTCCTTTTATGCCAAAAATCATTAGGATATTAAGTAAAGATCATGTTCCATGAAGATATTCTGTGAATTTCCTACCGTAAATATATCAAAACTTAATTTTTGATTAGTAATATGCATTGCTAAGAACTTCATTTGGACAACTTTTTTGCACCCTCAGATTCCAGATTTTCAAATAGTTGTATCTCAGCCAAATATTGTCCCATACATCAATGGAAAGCTTATTTATTCTTGCCTTTCTCTGCGTGTGGGAATATGGTGGTGCTGCTGGACGACACGCTGGGAGCTCGGCCCGATGACGGCGGCGTCGACTGCATGCCTGTAAAACAACATTCAATAAAATCAGTCAGTATAGTGTGTGTCGCGTCTGTCACTCGTCACTCCTGCATCTGCTGAACGCTTCTAAATCTCTCATTCTGCTCACTTATCACCAAATCTGGGATTCAGTCGTTTTGTCCACTTGTTTTCTTTCAATCAGCACAGGTTTTGTGTTTCTTTCTGGAACTTATTAATCGTAGGTCTCATTGATCTGAGCTCATGCACCTCAGTTTATGAGTGAAAAAAGCATTATTTATGCATAATTTTGGCTCATGAGTTCAGATCAGTGAGGCCTGCGATCAGTCAGATCCAGAAAGAAACACAAAACCTGTGCTGATTGAAAGAAAACAAGTGACGACTGAATCCAAGATTTGGTGATAATATAGCACAACGAGAGATTTACAAGCTATTTAAGAAGACAGTTATTTTTAACCCGGGAAATTAGGAATAAGAAAAATCCCCAAAAGCATAAAAATTATCAAATTTTTGGGGGGAAGTTGTTATACGCCGTGTGAGCAAATTTAGCAAGTTTTAGTCCAACAGGTTTATTATAGTTAACTAAAACTAAAACCATAAAAGACACGAAATATAAATAAAATATTTTTAATATTAAACTTATTTTATTTCAGCTAGTTGCCATTTCTCATTTTCATTTAGTTTAACTTGATCAAAAACTGAATAAAAACTATGTTTAAACTAAAAATATCAATATAAAAAATACTCATAATCAGAGTACAGTTACTTGATTACATATCATTCACACAATTGTTAATCATAATTTATTGATTCTCTCTAATTCTTCTTTTTCATCTTTACATTTTCCTAAACATTACCCATTGTAATGCACAAATTCATTATTTCTTATCCAATTAATTATTTCTTATTTACACGTACTGTAATGTCACTCTTTCACCTAATATATTTACTTGAAGCCCCGCTGAGATTTTAAGGTAATTAAGTAATAATTAAGTAACACATCTGCATGATCACGGTTCTCTGATGTTGGTTATTGCTCACACGACATGCAGGTAAACAAATAAAATATTTAATTTCATTTGATTGATGTTATTTTAAAATGATTTATTTTAATTTTACATTTTGAGAAACCTTGACCTAATGTAATGTTGTTAATTACAACGAATGTAATATATTTTTAAATCAATATGGTACAAGATTATCCTATTTAAATCAATGTAAGGTCAAAAGTAATCTAAAAGTAGTCTGATTATATGACCTGAAATGTCTAATGTAATGGATTGGTTACTAACTACCGTTTTTGTCATTAATCTAGCCAACACTGAACCAGTAACATCAACTCGCTTTTTCAGGAAACAGAAAATCCTCTCCAGGTCAAAATGACCAGAAAATATAAACACGAGTTATTCTAAATGACCAAAAGCTGCTGATTTTTCTTCACTTTAACTGAAAATGTTCTTTGATGGAGTACAATTTGATGCCGCACGACATTTAATGTAAAACAACCCAACATTAAATATGGACCGCTAACAGTCTTAATGGACTAAAACACAAATCTGCGAGTGCTCTGGAGTTGAAGTATTGATTTAATTACCGCGCACCAACAGCACAATTTGTCAAAGCTCTCATACGTTTGAGGTCTTTGCTTATTTCTTTCTCATTGCGAGAGTCAAACACACTGTAAACCAAAGAAAACCCCATGCGCTCTGATTTCATTAGAAACCATTATCAATCTGATGTTACCACTTCCATTTAATGCCAAATCACCTGTTGAGATCACGGATGTTTGTCTTCCCATGTTTCCATGCCTGTCGACTGCAAGCAGCAGCAAGTGAATCATCTTTTTATTCCCTCGAAACGTAATTATTACGCTGCGCTGCGGGCGAGCATCATTTGCAGATTAGCCGGCGAGTGCGAGCATGACTTCACTCCCTCCGCATACTTTCACATCTACAGCTTTAAAAGACCTGTTTGTTATGCTTTTTTAATTAAATATCTACTTCATTTCTGTCACCGCACAATAGAAAACTATTAAAGAGGCTCTGAAAACAGCAGGACCGGCGCAGACGTGTTTTCCAGCACAAAGACCCCTTTATTTACAGGATGCTCATCTGAAGAGACTTACAGTAACTAAACAGTTCATCATAGAGCCAGCAGTATTCATAATACATCACACTTCCAGGTTTATAATGAACCGTTGTTCTCAGAGCGGATGTAAATTAATAATTTATGGACGCTTTATGCAAGAAGATCAAGTTTATCTCAATAGCATAAAAGCCACGACTTAATGCACATAGAAATGAATAAATTAATTAAATTTCTAAAATTCTAAATAAAATTAAATACATAATAAAAATTAAATTTAAAATGCAAATCAAATAAAAATGTAAAGGCTAATAAAATAATCTAAATAAAATAAAAGCAATTTATCAAAAAGCCAACCGTTTTTGTAATATATAATGTCAGGTTTATTGGACAACCACAGATCTGAAATCTGTCACTAAAATTAAGAATTTATATAAGCAGGAGAAGTTATTCCTTATATAGTGCATAATATACACAACAAAATGTTTGACGTAAAGAAAAAGCCAAAATTAAAGACATAAAAGCCACAACTAAAATAATTTATGGGCATAAAATGAATGTATAAATAATAAAATAAAATAAAATAAATTTTATTTTAAAATCAAATGAAAATCAAATGAAAATAAAATAAAATAAAATAACATTAAATAAAATTAATTAAAATTAAAATTAAAATTAAAATTAAAATAAATTAAATTAAATTAAATTAAATTAAATTAAATTAAATTAAATTAAATTAAATTAAATTAAATTAAATTAAATTAAATTAAATTAAATTAAAAATATACATTTGTCAAAGAGCCAACAATACTCATGATACACAATACTGGGTGTATAAGACTACTAACAAACCGTTGTTCTCATTCTCTCAGAATAAATAAATAAATAAATAATTGTTTTCGGAGAGGCAACACTATTTGTGATATACAATACTAGGTTTATTGAACTAATAGATTAGGAAGATGACTCAGTCAGCTTGATTTTCATTAGAAATCGCTAGTGTAAGAAGCAGTTTGCTGGTCATCAGAGTTTCCACGCTCTTTCTGAAGAAACATCTCATGGCCAAAGACAAACAGAGATTTAAAAAAAGAAATTAGCAAAACAAAACAATAAAAATCTTGGCTCTGGCTCGCTCGGTCAAACCTGGAGTTAATCAGTTTCCCTCTCTTCCACGAACGACGGCATTTCATCCCAAATAAACTCAGACTCCTGAACCTGAACCTGAGCGGAAAGCAGACGTGGATATTTACGGTGATGAGGAATGGTTGCGCTGATGTTTAGTGGATTACGCGGCATTAAATCTCAGGTTTGCGCGGGTCTCTGCGCTCGTTTCCATGCGGTCAGCGCTTCAGGTATGCGCCGCTAATCAGAGACTCCAGTGTGTTATGAACGATCTGCCAAACACCAGAGCCAGGCCAAGAGAAGGAAAATACATCTAGAGGACCTTGCTGCGCCGCAAACTGATGGAATCCAGACGTGTTACTGATGACCTGCTGTTGGTTCTGTGCTCATGCTACAACACTCAGATCCAGATCCTGCTGTGGGTTTAATTTAGTGAATCTGTATTCTGTGGTAAACTGTGTGTGGGCCTCCGAAGCGTTTAACGTAACTGTGTTTATGCAGCGCTGAATAAAAATGAGCAAAGATAGGCAGAGAGAGGAGACAGGAGATGAGCACATATGTGTCCCTGCAGCACAAAAGCAGTCTTAAGTCGCTGGGGTATATTTGTAGCAATAGCCAACAATACTTTGTATGGGTCAAAATTATACATTTCTCTTTTATGCCAAAAATCATTAGGATATTAAGTAAAGATCATGTTCCTTGAAGATATTTTGTAAATGTCCTACCGTAAATATATCAAAACTTAATTTTTGATTAGTAATATGCATTGCTAAGAACTTCATTTGAACAACTTTAAAGATGATTTTCTCAATATTTAGATTTTTTTGCACCCTCAGATTCCAAATTTTCAAATAGTTGTATCTCAGCCAAATATTGTCCTATCCTAACAAACCATACATCAATGGAAAGATTATTTATTCAGTTTATTCAAAATTGACCCTTATGACTGGTTTTGTGCTCCAGGGTCTCATTAATGAGATGTTCTTACACTCTTTGATGTTTCGAGGAGCGTTCTGACAGGAGTGACACACCATGCCATAGATGTTACGCGGACGGTTCTCCAGAATGTAGTACCTGAACCAGAAAACACAAAAACAAACTCAGAAAGCATTGGTAAAGAAATGACGAGTTAATGTAAGATTTAGACAAAATAAGATTTTTTTTTTTATATCACATTATACATTCAAACCAAAAATGATTCAGACAGCAGATATAATTGTTGATGTTTTTTCACTAGTGTGTGCAGGACACTATAGTTTATTTATGTAAGTGAGGAGAGCAAAATAAAGTGAACTGTGACATATTATACCCATAAAGTCTTCATACAGTGGACTACCGGATCAAAAATGATTCAGACACTTTGAGCTGAGCATTTTTTGCTGAAGTGTTTTTCTTTAATTGCTAATGTGATCTTTTTACACCACAGACTGAACTAAATGAAGCACTGCTTGCTAATTAGTTGAGCTAAATTGGTTTTATCTAATTGTGTTCTTAATGTAACAGCTGACAGCTATTCAACAGAATTCATTACATATCTTTCTATCAGAGTTATCTGACATTATCAAGATGAATTTCTTCTGAGTTCTTCTCATATTTTATTACCGTTTTCTAAACTATAGCCAATAAACTGTGATATAATGTGAGAAATGTTGAAGGTGTCTGAATACATTTTGGTTTGATTGTATTTACAACAGCTATTCAGAATGTTTGACACAAAGAAAAAGCCAAAGTTAAAGACATAAAAGCCACTGCTGAAATACTTTAAAATGGATGTCAAAAAAAATAAAATTAAATTAAAAAAATTTTTTTTTTTCAAAATGAAAAAACTAAAACATAAAATAGGGAAAAATATTTTTTAAATTACTGACTGCAAAAAAAAAAAAAAAAAAAAAAAAAAAAAATATATATATATATAAACGGACTGAAATAAATAATAAGGAAAGAAATAGTAAAAATAAACAAGCACATTACTGACTGCAGGATGTTTGACATAAAGAAAAAGCTCAAATTAAAGACATAAAAGCCACAATTAAAATAATTTATAGACATAAAAAGAAATGTGTAAATAAAATAAAAAAAATACAATAAAATACAATAAAAAAATAAATAAAAAAATGACATTGAAACAAATAATGAGGAAAGAAATATTATAAATATACATAAAAAAAACACATGAATGACTTCAGGATGTTTTTGCTGAGAATTGTGCAAATTACCTTTTTTAATGTTTTATTCCATGGCAGAAACAAAAAAACAGAATTGCAAGATATGAACTCAGAATTCAGAGAAAAACTCAGAATTGTGAGAAAAAAAGTCTGAACTGTGAGAGAGTCACAATTACCTTTTTTTTTTTTTATCCCGTGGCGAAAACAAGCCTTCATAGAGAACGTTTGACAGCAAAGAGAAAACAACACAACTGAATCTTCAAAGGCTGAATGTGTTTAATGATCTGCTGCATGTTCAGTGTTTTTGCTCATGTGAGTCGAGACGAACCGATGCCCTCAAACACAGAACACACACTTCACATTCAGACCGACACAAATGCCTGATCAAAGCCATCACGAGCTGCGATCTCAAAGGAAATATCAGCGATCAGACTTCACGTCCCTCCAAACAGAAACAGCAGAGACTTCCTGAGGCAGAGTATATTAAACACTCAATAATGTGCTTTTAAAAAGCTGCACTTTGTATATTTATATTCAAGCCAATTGAAACCAGACCTTCTGCTTTAAGTGGCAACAGCAGCGTGAAGCTGTCGTGTGTGTGTGTGTGTGTGTGTGTGTGTGTGTGTGTGTGTGTGTGAGAGAGAGAGAGTGT